CCATACCAAAGCTTATCCGACCCCAACTGAAACCAGGTTTAACCAACAAACACAAACATAGGTTCACAAAACCAAACCAATGCTTATCCAACCTAACGGAAACCAGGTTTAACCAACACAAATATAGGTTAACAAAACCAAACCAAAGCTTATCCAACCTAACTGAAACCAGGTTTAACCAACCCTAAACCAGATTTAATTTATTTATCATTTATATCCTCAAACCCAACATAGGTTTATCTAATTAAATATACACAGAGCTGAAAACTTTAGTATGAAATATCCAGATATCCCGTCGTATAATTAATCTGAAGATTAAAGTCATGAGGTAAACAAGCAATATTTAATTCCGAGATTAAGAAAAAGAGTGGATTAAGCCTTAATCCTGATATCCACCATTCTAAAGTTTTCAGCTCTGGTTAGTTTAATCAACTCAGGGGTTTCAAACCTAAACCCTGAATCGGCATCTTTTCATCCAACCAATCATGGGTTATCGAACCAATCCAATGTTTGTTGAAATTTACACAAAATTTTCCAACCTTTTCATCTCTCGATACGTCCTAGTGTTTACCAAACTAAAGTTCAACTAAATTCACAGTTCTTTAATTCGTCTCATACATTCAGTCAACCTATCTCTAATCAAAACTCATCCAACCCAATCATATTCAGTCTCATCCCATTCAACTCCACTCTACCGATAAAAGTTCTCATCCCACCTACCAAACCTTGCTGATTAGGAAAGTGTTAAGAAATCTGTGTGACATGTCAAACTAAACTCTGCTGGGCGTCGGCTCATCAATAATTCATTCCTTTCACAACCAATTAGTGAAGAATGGGGGAACCAAAGCTGTTGGCAGGGTAGAGCTGTATAGTGAGCAGGGGAAACCACTTTTCATCCTGTATTACTAGAGTATGTACTTAAGATTAAACACTAACAGAAGAAAATCAGTTTGTTTACTCAAATATATCACTAGGTTGGGTTTGTTTACTCACTGCCACACTAGTGTATACTATATAGGTGTATATATATTATAAACATAAATCTCTGCAAACTATTTAAAACTCATCTGTCTTTTTTAGTATACTAATAATGGTTTAAACAAATAAACTAGAGTTAGAAATGGCCAAACCTGCAAAGTTATATTTGTCAAGAGTATATATCTTTAAATTCAAACCGAGTTAAACAAAACTATACCATACATTTATAAAACATGGCGAAAACTATTATTGAAACAACAAATGTCAATTTTAAACTAAAAATAAGATTCTTGATTTCATTTTCGAACATATCCCTATTTTGAAACAACTACCGAATTTCAGCTCACGTCGCGTTTTTGGAACATATCAATGTCAATTTTTTAGCATTTACGCACATACGTAACAAAACAAGATTGTTTGATAAGGTAAAATATAAACAAACTGTTTTTTTTTATTATTTAAAAATCATTACAACATTAAAAAAATATCAATATCATTTGTTCTTACAATATAGATTTTACTAGAATTGCGGGAAACTGTTTTCAGTGATTTATTTTGTTATGAAAGTGAGTTTTTGTTTTGAATTGCGGATTAAATCAAAAACGAGAAAGTGGGTTTTGTCTCGAAAACGCGACAATGTTTCAAATTCAGGATATGTTTGAAAATGGGAAAACCTGACATGGATTGGAAATATGTTGTCCTCGTCATCTTTAATAAAATGTTGACTATAGTTTGTATTATAAACGACTTTTACTCTGGATATGGGCCGGGATCCTAAAAACCCCTGCTTTCAATTTCTGCCCATTTCTAACACGGACTGTTAGAAATGGCCCAAGTGTTAGTTTTGGAACTAATGTCTCCAGCAATCACCCCTTCACAATCGAACAGTATATTTGCATAGAAGAGCAAACTGTTGGCTCTCTCTTGTATCCACAGTTTTAATATTTTCATGTGAATAAACAAGAGAAACTTGGTTCACTATTTAACTAAACAAATAACCATGATATTTCGGAATATTCATAAACGTCCTGCATTCATCAGATAATACAAAAAAAATGTAATAATTTTTTTTTTTAAATTGAATTTGAAATGGTTTGGTGTTGAAGAAGAGAGATGAAGGTTGAGAGAAGAAAGAAAAAGCTGAAGGGAGGGAAGAATGAAACCAAAGTTGTGGATTAAGATTAGTGTCACTTGGTGCCTGGATTAGGACGATTATGCAAAATAACCTTAAATTTTATCCCACCCAACCCTGGCTCTTGGTGCTTAGCCTACCTGGATAAAAACTAATCCCATTCCAATATACAATACATACATATACATGTGTAAAGTGTATACAATACAAACATATATGTATACAATATAGTATATACATATATCATATATGTGTTGTGTATACAGTGTTTACGTACAAGTATATATAGCTAATGGAAAAAAATGATAATTAAACACTTATTTATCTGTCTATTTTTTCAAAGTTTATTTTCATGTTGATGTCGATCATGGTCATAACAAAGTTTAGGATGAAAGACTAAAGACGCAACGTGTAGGTTGTACAGACAAACAGAAAATAGGACAAATGTACAAACAGATGATCAAATAAACAGAGAGTTCATCAAATAAACAGACAGTTCGTCAAATAAACAGACAGTTGGTCAAATAAACAGACAGTTGGTCAAATAAACAGACAGTTCGTCAAATAAACAGACAGTTCGTCAAATAAACAGACAGTTCGTCAAATAAACACACAGTTCGTCAAATAAACAGACAGCTCATCAAATAAATGGACAGTTCGTCAAATAAACAGATAGTTCGTCAAATAAACAGACAGTTGGTGAAATAAACAGACAGCTCATCAAATAAACAGACAGTTGGTCAAATAAACAGACAGTTCGTCAAATAAGCAGACAGTTCGTCAAATAAACATACAGTTCGTCAAACAAACAGACAGCTCATCAAATAAACAGACAGTTCGTCAAATAAACAGACAATTCGTCAAATTATCAGACCGTTGATTAAATTAATTTACTGTCGACAGTAACAGACAGTCCGTCAAATAAACAGATAGTTGCTCTAATAACAAACAGTTAGTTAAATTAATAGAGAGTCAAATAGATAGATAATCCGTTGAATTAATAAACAGTTTGTCAAAAAATGTCAAATACTGTAAAAACAAAACACAGTCTATTAAATGAAGAACTAGTCTAAAAAAACCGAATTTGTCCTGTAATATCCCCGCCTACAATCTGCTATAGCGAACCCGCTGGAATAAAATCTCCCCTGAGAAAATTTTCTAAAAAACTTTAAACGTTTAAACAAGAAGAATTGAGAAAGTTTGACTGAACCTCTGGTTTAAAGCATTATCTTGTTTCACATTTTAATAATGGTTTCGGAATGAAAAATCTTCCGGTTTCCTTTTCTTGCTAAACTTTAGCTAAGGAAACAGGCATATTATACAGAGAGGGATTAGGTGAATATATATAGGGTTTACAGTAGACAGGAACTAGATATAGGATTAGGGTTTACAGTAGACAAGAACTAGATATAGGATTAGGGTTTACAGTAGACAGGAACTAGATATAGGATTAGGGTTTACAGTAGACAGGAACTAGATATAGGATTAGGGTTTACAGTAGACAGGAACTAGATATAG